CAAATCTGAGAGAGGTCCACATGTAGTACCTATATATGTAATATCAAAGCAATTGGACTTGCGGTTTTCAACAAGAAGTCGAAAATATCACTTTATACCAAAAATTACAAAAATATTCACCAAAATTAGAGAATTAAAGATATCATTACAAAATGAACAAATCTGAGAGAGGTCCACATGTAGTACCTATATATGTAATATCAAAGCAATTGGACTTGCGGTTTTCAACAAGAAGTCGAAAATATCACTTTTTACCAAAAATGACAAAAATATTCACCAAAATTAGAGAATTAAAGATATCATTATGAAATGAACAAATCTGAGAGAGGTCCACATGTAGTACCTATATATGTAATATCAAAGCAATTGAACTTGCGGTTTTCAACAAGAAGTCGAAAATATCACTTTTTACCAAAAATGACAAAAATATTCACCAAAATTAGAGAATTAAAGATATCATTACAAAATGAACAAATCTGAGAGAGGTCTACCCACGGTACATATACACCAAGTATCGAAGCATTCAGGCTTGTAGTTTTCAAGAAGAAGTCGAAAAAGTAAAACATTGACACGGACGACGACGACGGACAATCACTCATATGATAAGCTCCGCTCGACAAAGTCGACAGCGGAGCTAAAAAAATATCATCTTAGAATTTTCACATTCTTACACTAATTATAATTCATACTATCTGTGTCTCTTCTTATCTTACTTGCATGACTCAGCTTTATCTGGCACATGGAAAATGCTTTGTTTTTGCTAAAATTCTTGTTTAACCAATTTTTTTCCTCGGCCAAACTGTCTATAATCTGCTAAATATTAAAGATATTGTTGAAAATGTAAAGCCAACGCTTTTGCTACTACAGTACTCATTTCACCCAACCTCCTGAAATTTTCAAAAAAACAAGTCATTGAAAATGACACAGTCCCCGTTAAATTTTGAAAAGTTCTCTTTGTGCTTGTCATATTTAAAGCAGAGGGGTTGTCGCGAGCGTGTTCTTGAAACTTGAGTTCCAAGTGGTGTATACAACAGATTGTTTATTTACATCAAAACACGTGTTCCGCGAGTAATAATACATTGTATGGCCAAAAATAAAAACAGCCGTTATTCGTCCATCTTTGATCTGATTATGAAATACACTGATATGTATGATGTATCTGCCAATACGAATGAAAGTAGTAGTAGTCCAGAGTTTTAAATCCGGTTTGGTCCCCGAAGACGAGGGTGGCCGGATTCACCTTAAACTAGTGGCAATCGCTCTTACCCCCTCCCTCCACTTTGCACGATTTAAAGCATCCCTCATCCTCATCCCAACCTTCCCACTCTCCTCCTCCACTTGCATCTTCCACGTCTTCTTTGGCCTTCCCCTTTTCCTTGGACCGCTCACCTCTAAATCAAGGGCCCTTCTTAATACATGCCCATCCTCCCTCCTCAGCACATGCCCATACCAACGTACCCCATTTG